AAAGACATCAGTGATTTAGATGCTTAAAAGAAACTTCCAAATGCTCAGAACACACAGACAACACACAGAGGACTTGTGCTATACCAGCTGAGTGTTGCTAACATTAGTCTCAAAGACTTTAGTAAGGGGCAGGTAGACACGGACACCCTGTGTGATCACAGGAAGTTGCCCTAACTTTGCATGCAGTCAAACTTTGGAATTTTCATAACTAAAGATACTATATTGAGTTAAATTTCCTAAACGCATACCAAAAATTACTCCTTGGGGAGTGAGGAAGGGACGGGGAAGGGAAGGAGGTAATGAACATGACTGAGACATTCCTGGACTTGACGCTGCTCATGGTTTAGCAGTAATTAGCTAACTACCAGATGTACAATTAAAAGACCTTATTTTCCTCCCTAACTTGGATGCTAGTGAGAAGACTCTTAATTTCTATTAGCGTAACTGAAAAGTGACCATATATCTCTAGTTTGGGAATGACAAGCAAGTATTCAATCAGACCAAATTTCTTTCTCACCTTCCAACTTTGTTCCTGTTTTTTAGGTATCATAAAGAACTGGATGATCTTACAGGTCTTTTCCAACCTAAACGATTCTATGATTCTATAACTAACAGCCATTAAAATCCAGCTTTGAACATTACCATAAAACAATTACAGTTATAGAAGTCAAGAGTGGATTGTAGTTTCCCTCCAATAAAGAGCTTATCTTGAGGATTTCTATACAGCATTGTGTACTTTCACAAATGCTAGGTAAAATGCCAATTCTTCTTGCAGTTTCAGTCTGCAGTTCATCTGCTATCATCAATGTACTTTACATAACAGATGAAGGAGATTTTAAAAGTTGATTATGAGAGACTAAGCAGGAAAAGACTGCATCTCTAAACTTATTACAATATTGATAAAAGACTAGTTGTGAAGCAATTCTATTAAATATTATGTATACTGATCTTTATGCTGTATGATCAGTTGTCTAAGCCAGGAAGGAAAAAGAACACAAAGTACTAAAGTGTAAATAACTTGTCATGCATACCTTCTCTTCCCCAAAGCAGTAATTCCCTATTCCCTGCACACACTTATTCCAATATACAACAATTATTTACTCCCCCTCAGAATGAGCAAACTTAAACAGGCCTGAGGTCTTCAAGTCCATTGGGGTTTCTTGAGCAGAGAGTTTGTCTGTTCTCCTACAGGACAGCAACAGGATTCAAACCAAGGATGAAATGAAAACAATGGAAGAGAATGCTCATCATCTTCACAGCTGCTCAGCACTGCAAGATTCTACATTCTTGCACCTATGTTTAAAATTAATGCGTGCAGAGCTTTCAGCTAATAGTTACATACCTGCCACTCTGGTCTGTAGTCCATGTAACAGATCTTCCCTCCGGTTTGGTTTTGTACCATATTCTTATTGCATGAGGAAAGTCTGTTGGAGTCTGAATTCCTGATTTCCTTATCTCCAAGCTCCAAGTGCCAGTAGTAAACAGAAGCTCTCCACAGCCAGGCGCCTGGCTGCAGCGAGTAAAATAGTGTAGCTGTTCCTTCCAGCGATCTGCAGGTAAAGTCACAAGTTCGTGTACAATCTGATTCCTGAGATTTTCCAGCTTCTTTGAAGTATCAGTTAGCTTGGCAGACCTTGTGAATTTTTCAATGCCTGACACAGCAGCAACATCTACCTCCTCAACCTTTAGTATGGACAAATCACAGCAGTCCAATACCAGCAGAAAATCCTTGTTCCCATGATTCTCTATGTCACAGCAGTCCTTTGAACTAGAAATCCCAGAAGCCTGTTCCTTGTTGCTATGGTTACCATTTTTATCAGAAGTGTCTTCTTCACCTTTACCACAGAGAGCAAAATCATTATATTCTGTTTTAGATGAACAGGCACTCACATTTGTCACAGGAGTATAGCAGAGTTCAGATGCCCTCATTTTACAGGTTTCATCAAACTGTGATTGGCAGCCCTCTTTGCCAGTATGGCTCGTTTTCCTGTACTGGCTCCCAGTCTCAAAGAATAAAACTATGATGCCTTCAATAACTTTACTTTTAAAATCCACATCCAAGTCCAATATATAGTGCTTTACAAGCATATAGCTAGTGTTGGCCATTAAGGGCAAGTCATCCTTCATGGGGTCTAGCTGTGCCTCCATGTTCCAGTCTACCGGGCAAAAGTTTTACAAAGCCTTAAGACATTTCTTACATATGATGTCTCCATAAATAGCGAGGCTATTCAGCCTTCCCATGCCAAAAATAATTTTGATTAATATTACAGTATTGAAATTAATTGCAGTTCCTCCACTTCTCACATTCTATAAAAAAAAAAAAGAAATCAGATAATCATTTCACAACCATTTCTGAAATGCACAAAACCTAAATGTTATTTAATGTCCAGTTGGCTTTATTAAAAAATAGTACAGCCAGAAGGTGATTGTGTCTCCACAGAATGGCATCCAGGTAGCTCCTTCAGCAGTTGCTGTCAAGAAGCACTGGCCTTGTTTTTCAGAGATCTCAAGTGAAAATATTTCTAGACAGCTTTCATAAACTGAAAGAAACAAACTTTGCTATAGGCCTGCTGTTGACTCTCTTCACCCACAATAATCCTTTAGAAAAGATACATGGTTATGCAACATCTAATTTCATTTATTACTGCCCTATTTGTTTTTAAGGTTGCTGTATTTATTTAAAATGCATTACCAAAAGATAGCGATCATTTTCCTACTGTGATTCTAAGTAACAAGAGTAAGCCTAAATCACCTCATGCGTCTTAAAGTTTTGAAGTAATAATTTCATACATACAATGCATCTCCACAGATTAATATACTTTCCACATTACAACTGCTCTTATATCAGCACTTCTAGTAAATTACAGGAAAATGAGCCATTTACTATGAATGCATTCCAAGTATTCCTTTGAGATTGCTCATGAAGATTTTTCAAATTTATAGTTAAATACTTACAGTATATGATTACATCTTAATAGCTGGAAACCCGTTAACACTTGGGATAATAGCATCTTACAGAAAACAAAGGTCTTCTCATTGGAAAATATGCAAATACCTATAAAAGCAAGAAAAAATTAAAATGCATTAACATCTGTTGCAACAACAGGCAAAAGTTCATCACGGAAGTTTAACAGTCATGCATTCTCTGTTTTGCTATGACCACTGAGCTGAAGTTATGCACTTTTAGCTCACTTAAGTCCTTTTTCTCTACTTTCTAGACTAGAAATAGAAATCAGAGGAAGAAGCAACTGTTAAGATGTGCAGTTCTCTCCCTGCCAGTTCAGTGACACTTTCATGACAGGCAGCCAAGTCTGTTTTTAAGTGCCTTAAGTGAACAGATATTCCCTTGTGACATAGCTTCACAGTTTCACAGCCTCATCATAGACTTCAGTGTCCAAAGTCATTTTTTTGTGGAGTTCTCAAAGTCAGCACAGAGGAGAACCCAGACTCCCCCAAGACTTGCTATTTCTTTTATAGGAATCCCAGGCATGCTATCAAGCTAGCATTAGTAAGTGGAACACTCAGGCCAAGAAATTATCTTTACTGTTCCCTGAACTAACTTCACACAAAGCGCACAAAACATAGCAAATATCTCCTTTCTTTGATGGCTTTCTACCAGTCAGAAACAGCTCTTGCAGGGATGTCTTTGAAGACAAGCTGAGAAAAATCTTTCTTTCACTTTTGTATCAATCCTCCCACACTTTTGCAAACACACCAGGGCACCAGGCACAATTCAGAAGGCACTCTTTCACCAAATATCCCAGTAAACTCGGAATAATTTGAAGATTGCCTGCAAGAGACAGTCATTGTATCTTTTGAACTGCTTCCAGTAGATACTTCTCTATTTTCTGTTTGAGTTTTCCCAAACTTTTTCTCCAAATTAATCATCTTCTTGTTCATCATAAGTTACTGTTTCAAACTTAACATATTTGCAAGAAAACACTTTGCATCTTGCACTGCCTTAACTGATGTGTACATCTGTATACTTTCAGAATTCAACCTTGTATCAGGATCCAAAAACAGATTCATGAACTCCTGCAGAGCCCCCATGATTTCAATATGGCTTGCCAATGATTACTTATCTTTGCAGATATTTGTGCAATGTTGATCTGTGTTTTGCCAGTTTGACTTAAAAAAAAAAACCAAAAAAAACACAACAGAGGAAGGTGAAGCATTAAGTACCCTTGAAATGCATATTGGGCCCTCGTATTATCATACTGATTTCTTTCTACTTAATTTAAGGAAGTCTGGAAAATAGTACAGAAGTGGAACTTAAGCATTTAGAAAGACCTGTAAGAAAGGCTGAGGGAAAATTCAGCAAACCTGGGTTTGGTCACTAAACAATGTCTATAAATAGCATATGGCCATTACAATCATATCCTTGTCTTGACACCTAACTGGGAGTATCAGCTGAGCAACCAAAGGTTCTAAATACCACGACATGAGCAATGCATCTAATATGTCGGTGCATAATGCTGTGGACTGAACTTGATGTTGTCTGGATTTTTGCTGACTACCAAAACCTTATGACTTCTGACAGGTTAGCTAAGTATTGGTAGTAGAGAAAAGAAATACAGTAACTTGGTGGGGAAAAAACCCAACACTGAACTGGCATTCAAGAATCCGTATTTTGCACAAATACTTCGATTTTCTCATTTGAAAACCAGGTATAATATAATACTGATACATTTATAAAATGTGAGTACTATACTACCAATAAATATTTGTGCTATACTACTAATATGTGTTTATATCCCTGTTTTTCTGTTTTCCATTTGGAAGATGTGATCAATTTCTTACCTCAAAAGCATTAAGACACATACACTAACTTACAGTCAATTCTCATTCTTACCATGGTAAGAAGCACCTCTGAACACCTTAAAATAAATAGTAAAGCTGCAGTTCAATGCCTACAAAACCACGCTTATTTAGTATTTAGAGGACTGTCAGATTTATTTATTTATTATTATTATT